TTTTCTTCAGACAGTCTTGTGCTAATTAGATCCGCACTTGTAATACCCACTGCACGAGCAAATGGTTATCCCTTAGAGCTACATGTGTGTCGCTCAATATGGTTTTATGGAGACTGATCCATAACACTAAAACCTAAAATAATCTTATATAACAATGACCTAAAATATTATTTAAAAATATTTTTATTTTATGCATATTTTTTATATTTTAATTCAAATATAGCGTACACCATAAACATATACTGGTACTGGCATATATTTGTGTCACTACTAGATAAAGGTCTAATATCTCCCGGAAACCTTGTTGTTTATAGTTTGCAATTTCTATTTTTCATACTTCTGGCTTTCTGACCTTGAGCAGAGTTTCACTCAACTTTTTTTTTTGTTATCTATGAGTACGCTATCAACTAAGCACAAAAGATTCTAACCCCAATTCGTCTGCTCGAAACCTTATCAAATGCAAGATGATATACCGACTTTGGCTTGTGAGACAGATGTGTGTATTAAGAGTGCAAATAGGAAAGAAAAAAATTCAAATTTTGAATATTTTATGGTTTAAGCCCGTAAACCTAACAGTTTAGTTTACTTCAGGATAGAAATTTTTTTTTTTATAGAAGATGTTTTTATAAAAAGAATGACGTGAGGTAGGGAAGAAGATTTAAAAATGGTCTCAAAACATTGAACCATGAAAAGTTAGCTTACTTTTTTAGGCAAATAACAGGCCTAGTTAGAGATCTAATTGAAAAGTATATTAAACATTTTTTATGCATCATTTTCGTAAAATTTATTCTGTTGGCTAAAGAGAATTATAACCAAAGAAAAAGTAAAAAAAAAACATAAAAAATTGTAAAGTTAAAAAAATATACGCTGAAATTTTTGAGGTAAGTAATTTTAGCTACTCTTTGAAGGAGTTTCAGGTTGGACAACCAGTGTATTCACCCAGTATAGCTCCAGTCGATATCTCTTTCATTTGTTTGACCGACTGAGAATGGTTACGTCGAAAGAGTTATATGAGTTGTTGAGATAGAAAACTGCAGTTGATTCAAGAAAATGCGCTTGCAAAATGTTTTTATGATTGGTGCAAGTGTACTATTTAGGACCTTACTGACGATTGATTTAATCAAATTAAAAATTTCTTCTTATTATTTTTTAAATTCTTTGTCTGAGGATAAAATATTTTTCTTTGTCACATTTTTTAATTTCTAATTATTTTTATGACTACATACGTAAAATTATTTAAGTAATTTTGCTGCCTTGACAAAATTCAAATCTGTTTTCTATGTCATATTTTAACTTTAATTATTTTGAACAAATAAAAAGTTAAAGGTTATTTTTATGGTTTCGAAAATTAAAGTAAATGTAATAATGATGTATCATAATACTAAATTCTTCGCATAACATTTACGTTCAAAAATTAATAAATTGGGATAGGAAAAATTTATAAATTTATAATATCTAAATATAATTATATTTCTAATAAATATAATAAATAAGGAAAACAAAAAACAAAAAAAAAAAAGATTTTTAAACTGTTTTGCTCACCATTGCCTATTTTCTTTTTGTTTGTATTTTAGTTCTTGTGACCACACTTTTGGTCTCTTTGTTAGCACATCCCAGCAACTTGTTGCAAAACATCTGCTGCTGCAGCGCAAATTGTTTGGAGTCTCTCATTTTCATTTCTTTTAAAATACTGTCAGCTATAAATGCGCCTGCGCCCCAAACAAACCACGAACATGAACCAAATTTCAGGATTTCTCTCTCTCTCTCTCTCTCATCGTTTTTAGCGTAATATTGAGCGTCAACACTCGGCCCATCCGTTGAACTCAACTTAAATTCCTATTGTGCGCCTCTAATATATTTAGTAGTCCGGTGTAAGTGCTTGCAAAAGGACATTCAAGTGTTTTTAGCGCGGAGAATTCAGATTGTGTAAACGCGTTGCGTATATAGATGGGAGAGTGTAGTATTTAGTAAAAGCAAACCAAAAAAAAAAAAAAAAAAAACAACTAAAAAGTAATAATTTTTTGGCTTTCTGATGTGAGTACAGATTGAAGCAAGTGGTCGGAGAATCTGAATGTAGTTGTACCTTTTTGCATTAAACTACCAATTTAAAATGCTTCAATGCCAGGAATTTAATAAAATAAGTGTTGAATAGTGTAGCCTTGTGGAGATTATGAAGTGTTCGGCTCGCAGCTGCTTTGCGGCATAATTTCATTTCCGTTGAGCGGAAATTAGTGAATTAAAATGAAATGTGCAGCGGAATTGACAACAATGAGCTGCAATTGATGCTGCATGTTACGTGCAACAACGACAACAATAGCAACAATCAAAGTTGAATAGTCTCTGCTTATAATTAACTGTGGGAATTATTCATGAGTGTAAGTGGCGGATCATTAATAAATTACGCTTACTTGTAACGTGAGCATTGAGAGTGCATTACACTAATATGACCTTTCGCCTCAAGTAGAATTTTAATTAAGACAAGTAATCAAACAAAACTGCAACTTTGATTCAAATAAGTTCATTAAGTATTCCGCAACAGTGGAATTTTAGATTAATCTCAAATTGTCCTTTGTGAATATTCAGTGATTGATGTGATTAAAATAACTAAATAAACAACTTAAATAAAAGGGAGCTCAAGCTTTGTTTACTTTAAATAAAAACTAATAAAAAACAAAATTCTTATTAAAAAAATGTAAAGAACAACCATTAATAACAACTGAATTTTTAAACAATATTTTGTTGGATTTCTAAACTGAATAAAAAAGAAGACAAAATTACAAAATAAAAAAATTAAACATTATGATATTGAATAAATGGAATTAGTAAAAAATAAAATAAGTTATTGTACAAAAAAAATTAAGGAGTAAAAAAATTGCCAAACTTTCGAACTTACGGATCAAAATTGAGGAAAGTGTATCTAATGCCAACCAATGTCTCTGCGCACGGCCTTGTTCTTATTAATTTCAAAGAAATCAAACGGAAACCATCGTCGATATATATATATTTTAAAACTAATATAATATAAAATATAAAATAATAAAATAAAATAAAAATAAAGAAAACAACAGCAAAAGCAAAATTAAGTAGAAAAATTAAAATAAAAAAAAATAAATAGAATAATATAAAATTAAATAAATTAATATGAAACAATATAACATAAAATAAAAAAACTTAAATTAAAATAAAATAAAATAAATTAAAGTTAAATTAAATAAATTAAGTAAAATAATTTTATAAAATAGAATACAATAAAAAAAAAATAAATAATATAGAGTAAAATCAAATAAAATAAGCGAAAATAAATAAAGAAAAAATAATAACTCAAAAATAAGATAATATCAAATATAATAAAGTTATATAAAATAAACTAAAATAAATATAAAAAAATTAAGTAAAATAATACATAATAGTAATGAAGTGAAATGAAACAAAATTAAAAATTGAAATAAAATATAAAAATAAAATAAAATAAAATAAATTAAATTAAAATAAAATAAAATAAAATAAAATAAAATAAAATAAAATAAAATAAAATAAAATCAAAAGTGGAAAATATAATAAATATAGTAAAATAATGTAGAATGATTTTTTTAGGTCATTGTTTTGTTGAATTGTTTTTGGGTTTTTATGGAACTGTTTCAAATCATACATATTTTGGAAATTGTGCAAAAATTACAACATTATTTGAAAATGAATTAAAATAAAATAAAATGAAATAAAGTAAAGAAAATAAAAAGAAATAAAATAAAACAATATAAAATGATATAATATAAAATATATTTAAATCAAAGTATGTTAAATTAATTTAAATTAAGCTTAATTAAATTTAGTCGCAATATTTAAAGCCAAATAAATTAAAATAAAATATAAAAATGAAAATAATATCTAATATATATAATGAAATAAAATAATATAGGATAAAATAAAATATATTAAATTAAATTTAGTACGCTATGGTTTAACTAACTAAATTAAACTTAATTGAATTAATTAAAACAAGTTAAAATATAATAAAATAATACAAATTAAAATAAATTGAATTAAATGAAATTTGAATGTTGTGAAACGTTATGTAATGAGTTGATATTAAATAAATCAAATCAAAATTATTCAAACCGAATTACTCTATTTAATTTTAGTATTGCATTTAAAAACACCACTTTGAAGTAGTTCGTTTTTTCGAAATTAAAATGCGTATAAATGTAATTCAAAGTGACATTATATTTCCAGTCACGTGCGTTTATAATGTTTTATACTTTCTTAAGTACTCTGTGCTGGATGTTTGTTATTGCCTACCTTTATTTACACTAATTGAAAGCATTGTCCGCAAAAGAGAAGTGATTAATAGAATGAAAAGTGGCACTATTGGTGCGTAAATACAGGCAAATGAATTAAATCAAATGCTTTTAGCAAACCAACAAGCACCGATAACAACTATATATATCTACTAGTTAATACAATACATAATTAATGAAAAACAAGAAACGAAATCCTAAGAAACATAAAATAAAAAATTAAATTTCTCATCGTCCCATTAGAATTCCATTTGGATATGTGTGCTCATGAACACAGAAAACCTTTTGAGTGTGCGTATGCTGAAGGTCACTGTTGCAAATAACAATTTGCGTCACATACTATTGCCGGATAGTTACCAACGTTATGCACATACATATACACATACATACGAGTAAATATGAAAAAAGAAATACATTCATGTAAATAATGAAAAAATCGAAGGACTCAATACTGACAATAACAATAACAGCAATTCATCATTTAGTGATCAAAAGCCAAACAGCAGCCACCAACTGCTATATAAGAGGTGAGCTGTAGAGGAGGGAGTGGTGTCCTCCAAGCGTCAACATTGTCGCCGACAGCACGCAATTTCTGACAACAGTTGAACAACAAATAAAAAATCGTCATATAATAAACAACAAAACAACTCATTGGCAACGGTAGTCGCAACAACAGCAAAGCCGAAAACTACAACAACAGTTCCTTTGTTAGTTGAATTTTGTGAAATTTATTTTTTTTTTCGCTTTTGACGTCGCGTCGCCAATGCGGTCGAGTTTTTCATCGTCCTCGGCACTGCCACTGTCGACATTGCCGTTATTTTGGTAATTGCTATATCCTTTCATAGTATAGCTAAAGTGTAGACAAAGAAGCGGAAGGAGCAGCACAAGCAGCTAAGCGACCAAGGCAAAAAGCACATATTTGAATTTCGCATGAAATGTTGCTGGAATACGTAATGATGCTGCTTGTGTTCGGATTAACCACAACCGTTGAGCGGAGCCAAATCGACGCACTCGGTAAGCATAGTAAATACGTAATATTACATGCACGTTCCCGCATGAGTGTGCTATATGCGTGTGTATTTCATAAAAAAAAAATAAAATAAGTACATTTAAACCAATAATATTTTTTACTTACTTAAAATAAACGCGCATAGAACTAGGGCAACGCGCAGCTGCCGGTTTTAGCCTTGCTTTCGTCGATGTCGCCATTTATCCACTCTATAGTGCGCGACAAAAATTAATTTAGGTCTGGTAAAAAGTAATGATTAAACTGAAAGTTTTATTTACCAAAGTAAGTGTTGCAGGATCTGCGACAAATGTGCACCGTTTTGTTTGACAACTTTTTGCCATTTTGATTGTAATTTCCTTATGCTTCTCTCATATAAATCTCTTTACCTAATGGTAAAAATTTGGGACATGAAATTCTCACTGGCTTCTCTTGAGATCAATCCTTCAGCAGCCCAATCATTCGCCATAGGCAGCAATACTGGGCAAAGTTAAGGGCTTTTGGGTGATTGTTTTTTTTACGCGGTCCAACTACTGACAGTATAAGTCCGAATCGGCAGTGAATGATTCCGCAAATCTTATCTTAGTGACCATAAGTGTCGGTACTGCTCTTCGATACCAATTTATTTTATTTGACGTTGCTGTAAGTGATCCATTTTTTATCACCAATCGCCATCGGTTATGGAAATAGGTAGATTTATTTATGCTGCAGTAGCAAGAGAAATATGGGCCATGAGGTTTATTCTCTATAACTAACCCATACATCGAGCTTCTTTGCGTATACATTTTCAAGTGGTTCCAAAGTGTGTTTTGAACAATGCTTAGCTCATGGGTAATAAAAAAAATCAATGTGTCATAAAATACCATCGTTAATTTATATTAAGCTTGACATTCCCTGTCGAGAGGCGAACGCATTTAGTGGATATTATTTAAAATAAATTTTCTGTAATTTTTGATGTCACTCGTACCATCAAACTTTCCCATGATTTATTTCCTCATTTATATGTTCAAATATTTATTTATTATATAAGCAATAAGAGCTTCTGTGCATCGGGGCATGCTCCTAATACACGTTTTTGCATCTTTTTGGAGTTTAAAGTTGTGCCGCCATTCTCAGAGTTTCAATCAATTACCGCTTGGTTATGATCACTTCTTTTGAAATCGCCTGTTTGCATGTTTTATGGGATTCATGTCTGGTGAATTCACCAACCAAGGTGAAGCAGTGACATTGTTTTCTAACAAAAACGAGCCATGCACACAAATATATTCATTATTATTATGGAGCCATTCATTTATTTGCAGCAGTAATCGTTTGTTTTTGTCTTGTCTCATTTTACCTTCTATGACAGATAAGCGCCCCAGACTCTGGCTGAGATAACTTACTATACCATTGCACTAACCGGGTGTTCAACCCTCTCTACAAGGAAACAAGTCAAAAAAAAAAAACAAATTTTTACCAGTCAAAATTTGAAAGGCGGTTGGACCGACGTCCAATCAAATGCTCTTCGAATAACCGTTTCCATTGATCTCTTCGAAATCTTTGCACCCTCTCGTTTTTTATTATCAAGGCAGATTTTTCTTATTTGTCGATTAGTATGAGGTATTGTTATCTTTCTTCTACCACATTTTCCCTCACGATTCGCCCATTTGGTATTTGGTTGTCAATTTCAATTTTTCTTGCGATGAGCAATGGAATTTGAAACACTAGCAACTTTTGCTTCGTACATTTGGGAATGTGTGGAGTACAGTAACATCGTTTGCATTTCTTTGCATATACTTGGAGACGTGTACTGAAACGTTCTCATCCTAAAAGGTTGAAAATTTTGGGGTTATCGTGTCGAACCATTGAAAAACGGTAAAACCATAGACAAAACTTACCAAAAGAATTATTATTTATTTTAACTTACATTTTGATTATTTTAGACACATAATTCGGTTAAAAGTAATGAAAAAATTATATTTAAGCAATATTACCAGAATGTTTAAAATCTCGCTTTTTAACGGAAAACAACACTTAACGAGTATAAATGTCAAGTAATTGACAAATGGCGCACATATTATGTTTTGCCACTTGACAAAAACAATAATTATAATACCAGAAACTACATCAGAAAAAATATTCCGTTTCCACCTATCTTCGCGCATATTTTGCAATCCGCTGGTGAGCTTTCTATTTTGAATCTAAGAATTCTTAACTTTATAGCTTAAAAACAGCTTTCATGGTATATATTAATTTTCGAAACACATAAGAATTAAGTTTTCTTTCTGTCTACAAAAAAATTGTTAATACCCAAACAGTTAGTTTTTCAAATTTTTCCATTTTCTGAAATTTATGGTTGGGCGAAGATTTTTTGTTTACTTATTTGTTGCAGTGTTAACAAATTTATTTATTTAGTTGAATAATCTAGGTCTGGTTCTCAATTTTCTGATTAATGGTCGTTTTCTTCCAGTACTAAAAAAAATTCCCAAAATGCAAGAAAAACAAAAATGTAAATAATTTTGTTAAGTGTCCACTAAAGATATCCGACGAAGTTCGATAAAGGTAGTAAAAACCTGCTTTAATATGTAAAATATTTGTCCCTCAAAATTCCAAAATAAAGGAGAAACCAGCCCAATTAAACTGAAATGTTATAAAAGGGTGCTTATAAACCATAGTAATTATTTTTTTTAAATTTTATATGCAACAAAAAATTTTAAACTCGCTTATGTAGCCAACAGTCTAATAAAAAATAATGTAGATTTTTTTGCCTAAAGTTTCTCGAAGGGTTGATATTTTATTAATTTATTAAATATTTTAATTTTTGAATTATTTATAAAAACGTTTGGCTTTTTGGAACCGTTATTTGATATTACTATGCGAAATTAGCTTAGCGGAAACTTTAAGATAATTAAATCTTTATTACTCCCAAGGAAGTTCTGCATTCAAAACTCATTTATTATATATGTACCTCAAAAAAAATTTAAAAAAAAATTAAATAATTATTATTTATAAACTTTATCTTAAACTTTGTTTCATCCGCAATTTCATATCCATAAAACTTGAAAATGGTTTTAATTGTTTTTTCTTTATTTATTTGATATTATTAGGTTGAAATGTTTAAGATGTTATAAAATTTAACTTTTTTAATTCAAGTATCAAGCAAATCGAACAATAAATAAAATTTGTTTGAATTCATCTTTCCTTGGATTTCATGAAGGTAACCTTTCCCACATATTAAGCAAAAAGGGATACTAACATTCAAAATGAAAATCATAACACTATCAATGTTCATCGAGCGACAATTCTTTTTTAATGGTTTTTTTTCATATAATAAATTTATAGCGGAAATTAAAATCGCCAAAACAACCTTTAACATTTTTACTGTTCTAAGAAAAACATTTCTCATTTGTTTGAGATGTAAATTAATTTATTAGTATTATATCCAACGGGACTTCTATTCGAGAAATCTGGTACACCTTAGTAACTACGGTTCCCCTTGCATGCCACGTGATGAAAGAGCATTTCAAAACTAACAGCAATACACAAAATGACATTAGCTGTGTTAATACACTAATATTTAGAAATCTTAACATGTTAACTTGTTGGTCATGTCGTATGAGTAACATTTGGTAGTATACCCTGGTTCTACACCTTAGTACTGGCATATGAAATTTTTTTTTATGTTTCCTGTTTAATTGATCTTAAAATGCGTACAGTGCCAACTGGCTTAAAGGTTCTAATTCAGTGGGCCACTAAGCATGCCCGCAGAAATGTGGTGTCTATTTATGCACTCTGTTATTTTTATTAATGCATTAAGAAAACAAATTTAATAAGAAGTATGTAGCAATTAATAGATTGAATAAAGAAGGAATATAAGATAAATACTTAAAAAAAAACAAGCTCACCAATTTATTTATTAAGGCTAAATAGAAAACACATTACATGTGTGTAAGTAAATGTAAAATAAAGAAATAAATACACATAAAAAAGAAATTATTTAAACAAATAAAGAAAATGGAAGAATTTATATTAATTAACAAAAAAATATTAAAAACTTCGTCATAAATAAAACTAAGTAAAATACAAAAAATTAGTAACTAAAAAAAAATAAGAATAAAAAAATAAAATTAAGGGAAATAAAAATTGTATAAAAGTAAAAAAATAAAATAAATAAAAATATTATAAAATAAAATTTAATAGTGTGAAAAAAATTTGAAACTAAATAAAATAAAGAATATAAATAAAGTAAGATAAAATAAAATAAAAATTATTGACATAATACAAAATGATAAAAAAAAAATAAATTAAATAAAGAACAAACAAATTAGATAAGGAAAAAATAAAAAAATGAATTAAATTTATTTAAAAAAATAAGAAGAAAATAAAATTATATACAAAAAATATAAAATATAGAATGATTTGAAATAAAATGTAAAAAAAAAGAAAAAATAAAATAAATTAACACAAAATAAAATTACATAAAACAGAAAAATTAAAAAAAGATAAATTAAAATAAAGAAAATAAAATATTTTGAATGATATAAAAATGCAAATAAAATAAACTAAATCAAAATAAAATGAATTAAAACAATATAAATTAATATCATAGAATTGAATTTAAGTTAATAATAAAAATTGAAAATTATGTAATCAAAGAAACAGATTTTAATAAAAGAAAGTCTTAAAAATAAGTAACATAAAAGAATTATTTTATAAAAAAAAACATAAAAATTTTAATAATAAATTATAAAAAAGGTCAGGTTTTTTATAACAGGAACTGTTTCTGGAAAATATTGTATAAACGTTGAAATAATTCAAATTTAATTATACAGGTAACACTTAGAAACACGTACACATGTTGTTATGTCATTTTCCTATCATATGGTAATTGCTTATGTATTTATGTATTCATAAGTTCAAATAATTTGGACCAAGCAATCACGTTTGCACTCTATTTTCATAAACTTGTATTTGGTTTTGCTTGGAATTAAGTAAATTCCGAAAATTATTACAATATGTTGACTTCTAA